ACCCCGGTGCTGCGGCACAGGAGGCATTCTGCAGAGTGCTCAGAGAGAGGCCTGGGGTTTCTGTGGGCAGCTGCTCTGGGGTGGAGAGACAGCCATGTTTCCACTGCAGCTTTTATCTGAATTTGATTGTGTTTGAATTTGATTGTGTTTAATTAGCTGGCAGTGCCCTGGAGCCTGGGATAGGTGCTTTAATGATAGGTTTGAAGCAAAGAGACCAAACACATTTTTGAAATGTCTTAATTAGTGACTTGCTGATGACTGCTCTGCTGCATGACCTTGATTCAACCACCAGCTCTTGCCTAGGACTATTAAGGTCTTGCTATTTATGCAACCTTTAAAAAGCAGGTGCTTTATTTCCTCTTCCTTTTCTGTCGGTGAGCAAATTGGGCAAAATGTAGGGAAGAAAACCAGGCTGCCAAAAGGAAGCAATGACATTGTTATAGATAACCAGGAGTGCTAAATGGATTTTGCAAGACCGCAGGGCTATAATCACAGCAGATAAGATAACCCACTGAGAAACCACCACCTGGAACGTTAACCACCCCTCCTGGGGGAGAAGCCACATCTCAGCTCTCCTACTCCACACAGCTAATGCACGAGCACACATCCCCACACAGGAAAGCAGAAGCATTCCAGAACTCCCAGCAATCCCACCTGCTGCCTTCCAGCAAGACCTGGGACGTCCAGCCCAGCTGGTTCCTCTGCTGGGTAACCTCCTACCACCCCCTCACCACTGACCCACAGCACAGCTTCGTGGAAGAACGTGCTGAACTTCTAGGGAAGCACAGACATGAGGCAACCCAGAGCTGCCCAGGGGGAGAGCTGGCAGCTCATCACCCCCACACAACCCAAGAGCTCAGGACTAAGCTTCCTGAAGTAGTTAGTTGTCAAAAGATGGGGTTTTCAGATGCATCCGAGGACACTCCAGGCTCAGCTTCAGTGAGAGCCTTGTGCAGAAACCATCAGGCCTCTGAAAGTCTCTGCAAGCTGAGCTGCTGGGGACCCATCACGTGCAAACAGGCAGCTGGGCCTGGCTGGGACCAGCAAACCCTGCCAGGACACAGCCCCCGTGGAGACTGGACACTTGGAATGGGATTGCTGCTGGTTCAGGAACGGGGAGAGGAGCAGGAGACAGCCTGTCACCGAGCAAGCTCCCAGAGGGAACCCCTGGGCTGGCACTCCTCCTTAAAATGAACTCCTGAAGCAGGAAGGAAAGCCAGTGAGAGAGTAAAATCCTGCAGGTGAAGCTGGGAGCTGGAGGAAACCAGTGCAGGGTGTCAGGCAGCGAGATGCTGCAGCTCAGGGAGTGACAAATGTACAGGGCCAGGGAAAGGAGGAGGCAAGAGGGTGCCTGCAGCAGAGGTGACACTCACCCTCAGGGAGATGCTGTGGCAGGAGCAGGGGAGTTTTCAGTGTTACACATCAGGACACACTGACTGCCAGCAGAGCTGGAGACAGGGAAACTCACTCCATGGGGCTGACTCAGACCAATTCTGCTTTGAATTAAAGCATCTATTTTAAAACATCTCCCAAAGGTCTGCTATTAAATTATATTAGCAGCATTTTTTCAGAGCACTGTTTCAGAGCAGCACTTTTCCCGCTCTTGTTCCCTCCATGACAGGGAGGAGGCAGGGAACAGGGCCTGCCCAGAGCTTCAGCAGGTAGCCCTCCACCACCTCCTGCACCTGCCCTCCTGCCCAGAGGTGAGCACTGCTGTTGGCAAGATGGATGAAACCAAACAAGTCTGGAATGGGGGAGAAGCCAAAGCTCTCCAGGCCCTTGTACCCCCTTCCCCAGGGCCACGAGCATCCTGCTGAGCTCCTGCAACCCACAGCCAAGCACAACTGACAACAAATTACGCCTTAAAAGCAGAATCATTCTCTCTTAAATATCCCACAGGTCTCTCCACCTGAGAGAGCCCCAAGAGCTCCTCTTACCCAGGGGAGGGAGAGCACTGACAGCCTCCCCGTGCTCCCTGCAGCCAGGCCAGGTGAGCTGCTGCAGCCACAGCCCTCCCTCCTCCACACCACGGCCTGCAGGACGCGTCGGGCAGCACTCTGAAAGTGGTTATAAAGTGTAATTAAGTCACCCAAAACCCCAGCCCTGGAGTGCAAAAACAAAGGCATGAGCGGGTAAAGCAACTGGTTTGTAAAAAGCTTCAAAGGCCCCCGAGCCAGCAGCTGTCTTCAGATTGATTTTAATGTCTGCATTCCCTGCAGACACAGTTCCAGGACAGCAATAGGAAGTTCCAGGACGTTTCTTATTCCAGTAAACTCTGCATTTCAGTCAGGACCAAGTCTTTCATATAATTTAATAACTGTTACATTGATTTCTCTTAAATCACCACAGCTCTGGGCACTGAAGCACTGTTTAAAATTAATACTTTTTTTAAGAGTAGGTTAATTTCTCCTGCCCTTCAGTAAGAAGGGATAATAGGAGATTGCAAGGGGCTGGTAGTGAAAAGAGAGCTGGTTTATGATTAACACGTGTGGTCAAGAGCCCCCATACACCACAGGGAGATCAAACAAGGCTGTAACTGCATCTTCACAGCATTACTGCAAATGACTCCCCAGCAGCAGCCAATTCCTCCCTGCCCCCCAGAGCTAGATCTGTCTGGACTGACCCCCTTCCTCCAGCCCATGCACAGCTCACATTTAGAAGGGTATTGGTGGTTCCTGCCAAAACATTTACACAGAGAGCTGCTCGCTGAGGAGAAAGCAGCTTCTGCAGAGCCCCCCCTGCCCTGTCCAGCCCAACAGGAGCCACTCGCCCTTGCTGCAAAACCTCGGGTTTATTGCTGAGCCCAGCCCCTGGCAGATGGGGCCAGCAGAGGCCTCCAAGCCTTCCCAGCAGTCTGGAGAGCCAGAGGAGCCAGAGGGAGTCCAGCGAAGGGGAAACAGACTGACTATCAGAAACAGGCAGGATCGTTTCAGATAACAAAGGGCTCAGAGGAAATGAGCAGACTCTTGTGCTTTGAGTAATAAACAGGATAGAAGAGTGAAGCTTAAAGGCAAATC